GCCTGGGCTACCAAGTGAGCTCCAGGAAAGGCGCAAAGCTACACAGAGAAACCCTGTCTCGAAAAACCAAAAAAAAAAAAAGATACTGCACTGGAAAAAGAAACATTCTCCAGACAAATCCTCACGTTGTTTCTGTTGCACTGGAGAATTTAAGCCCAATTTGAGAGTATTGAGAGTGATTGAGTTCAGTGTCCCAGAGTGGGAGGGTCAGAACCCTGGGTCCTGTCTGGTAGACTGTGTGGCTCTAGCTGACTGTGCACATTTTCCTGCTTTCCCTTACTTCCACATGGGAGTTCCTTCTGAAACTGCTTGCTAGTCAAGACTTCAACCTTTTCCAACAGAGTCCTACTCCATAGCAGCTTCAAGGCATCTGAGGACCCATTTAGCTCTCTGAACAAACTCCCAACAGCAGCTGATAGTCAAGGGGTGAGATTTACTAGAAATTAGGACAGGTCCTTGAATTCCAACTCCAATTCTTGCCCATACCAGACGTTCAAAGGGAGAGGAGGGCGTGGTGCTACACCCTGCTCTTGAGAAATCCCGGGACTCTGAAGTCTTGGTTCACCCTGGGCTGCAAACCTCAGCAGAATTTGCTTAGCTACCAAGAGTCGGTCCTTTTCCCATCATCTTACAAATGGCAGCACAGAGGAAGTGCATGGAGATGGAATGGGAAGGAGTGAGCCCTCCATGTTCTCTCTGAACCCATGCTTCTCTCACTGGCTCACCCTGATTGTGTGTCAGAGCACCTAGGTCTTACACTGACAGAGTTTTAGGCAGCTCCCTGAGGCTTGCCCCAGTCCTGTGAAAGCTAGGTTAGAAAAGAACCATGTTTAGTTTAACAAGAATGTCCTGCCACCAACAACTGACCAGCCCTGATATTTAGTGTGGCTCTTCCTTCTGCCCCTTACCCAGGTACTGTCTGGTCACCTGGCCTGTTTTTAGTAGAGATCCTGTTGCTAAGCTTAGCCAGAATCCACTGACTTCTGACCCTTCTGTTTACTAATTTCCTATTCATTAACCTCCCTACTCACCTCTTTGTCTATGGAGCCCCCTTTTCTTTAGTTCTGATTATCTGACATTTATAATATGAAATGACGGCGTATTTTCTCATCACTGACAAAGAATCTAACAAAAGCAGTGTAAGTGTGCACAGATTTATTTAGGTAACCGTTTGAGAGGCTACTGTCCGTCACGGCACGGAAAGAATGGTGATGCTCCATGGTGGTGGAGCGTGTGGCAAGGGCTTCTACAACTAGCTGAACCAGGAATCAGAAAACAGGCAAGAATTGGGGGTGGTCTGTAACCCTCACTGCTCCCATGAACCATCCCTGAAAGGCTACATGAGGAAGCAAATCATCAGCTGAGAATCAGCTGCTTAGAACGTGAGGCCGTGAACATTTTACATTCAAGCCATCTGCAATGGATCTCATTACGACATTTTCATATATGTATACATGTACTTTGATCATAGCAGTCTCCTTCATGGCTTCTCATTTTCTCATGGAATGTTTGAAGTTATGTCTGGTCTCTCTCTCCTCTTACATAATTGCATTGGAGCTGTCCCTTTACCTGGTATGATGCCTTTGAATAAATTTTATTCACTGTGTGTTAAACAGTGTCATCAATCCGGGAGGCGGTGGTGCACGCCTTTAATCCCAGCACTCGGGAGGCAGAGCCAGGCAGATAGTTCGAGGTCAGCATGGTCTACAGAGTGAGATCTAGGACAGGCATCAAAACTACACAGAGAAACCCTGTCTTGAAAAAACAAACAAACAAACAAACAAACAAACAAACAAATAAATAAAAACAGTGTCATCAAATAGTTTTAACAGTATTGCCCTTAGATCACTGGGGTTCAGCCAGTCCAATTCTTTATCTCCCTTCTATTTACAGGAGATACTATTTTAAAATATCAATAATTCAACTGGATTCACAGCAAAATTTATTCCTATTTCCTTTAAGTTACAACTGTCCTGTGAACAAGAAAATGGCCCCTTACCTCCATACACAGATGAGGAACCTTCACAAGGGCTCCCTCAGGCAGCAAGGCTTCTCATTAGGTACCAAGAAGTTGCTTTGGATGTGACTTGTCTGGAACATACTTAACCTTCTCCTCTGTCTCTAGGGGGCAGTGAAAAAAAGTGCCCACCTCCTCAGTGATGCCCTGCCTATAGTGTACACTCTAAGTGGGGCTGAAGTCATCTGGACGGCACATGGTTGGTGAGCTGAAAAGAAAACGGGGGAGATTCGATGGACACTTTCCTCCCAGCTGTGTCTCAGGAAGCTCCTCAGGGTCCCCATGTTTACCATGTGGACAGAGAGACTCACTCTTGCTATTACAATGATAAAGTCCCACAAGGGAAAACACCTGTGAGAGATGAACCATTGTGGACACGGGGAAGTGCTTACTCACCTCTCCCTCTCCCTGTCCTCAGCCCTTCCCCTACTAATGGCTATGGCCTTGCTCCCTCTGTTGGCATTGGATCTCTGACACTCCAACGGGCACCACTGATCAGGTGTGAGCCGGTGTGTGACCAGTGTCGCCTGTGGCTGCAGTGGGGATGGGGATATTTGCAGATGCCTCGACGCCCCTGAGGCTTTTGTCCAAGTGGGAAAATGACACTCTCCTTGGATTCACTACTCAGAGGTGTCCTAGGTTTTCAGAATATCTCACAACGTAGCACCACCTATTCTTCAAAGCTCTCTCTCTCTCTTTTTTTTTTGTACTGTAAGACAAACACAGATGAGTCAAACATGGCTATTTTTTAGAGAACTTACTATGTTCAATATAAAAAAAATTAGGTGTCAAACACAGGATTTCCTTCTTTGCTACCCTCAGAGCCTCTTGGAACAGTCCCATTTCTGTAATCATGTGCACACATGCTCATCTGTGACCACAGTCCCCAGCCTTCCCGAGTTCTTGCCCCCACAATCTGAATACATCAACTTGGTCTTATCAGAGCCTTTCTGCTTTTCCTTCCTTCCTCCACAGCATAATTCCCTTGCTCTATCTCTTCAATAATATTCGTATTACTCTCATGAGCAACCCTTCGATTTTTATTCTATTGTACAATAGAATTTGAATTGTATTGTATTCTTATTCTACTGTTGTATGTGTTTGATCTGCTTCCACTGTGTTCCCACGGGGTCTGCTGAGGCCTCTTGGAAGAAGCTGCCTGGCCTCAGCAATGGGTGCCACTTACTTGGCTCTCTCTCTGCTCATTAGTCCTGCAGGGCTTCCTGTCCACAGCCGTCATTTTACATACCACTGTTCTGCCAATCTGATATTATTACCTTCTATATACTGACCAGTGGAAAGGGATACCTTTGGCATTTCCCACCATGCATCTGTTGTCTTACTGCTGAAGTGGCAGAAACTTTGTATCCTCTCTGCCACTTATGCAGGCCTTGAATCTTCAATTACTCTCTAATATAGAATTGATTTGGTCTTTGTCCTAGGTTGCTGATATGGTCCTTCTAAAGCCCTTGGGGTTTTCTAATAGCAGGAGTTATCTTTGATAACATGAGAATTAATTAACTCTGGGCTGTCCCAATGACCAGATATACAGAGAGAGAGGTCAGATAAAGAGCAAAATGCTCCAATGGGAGCATAATGAAGGAACTCACAACTGATCACGGACCATCTTGGAAGAGAGATGGAAAAATTGTAAGAGCCAGAAGTTAGGAGCACTGGACCAAAACAGTGTTTTCATGACCGCTACACTCGTGACCTTGCAGCTGTGGTTGCCTGCACAAGACCTGCACAAGATCAAGCCACTTAGCATTCTAGCGTGAGTCAGGTAGGGGCTTACAAGTTCCCACCCGTAGGTGAGTGACAGCTTCTTGGGGAAGGAGAGTTTTCTTTAAGGATGTGATCTCTGTCAGGTTGACCATGTTCCAATGGAAGACCCCACACCCATGAGTGTAGAGTAGCACAAATTGGAATTAGTGAACTATATATATAAAAAAAGGGAGGGACCTGAAGTTTGGAGGGTATAGGGATAGAGGGATAGAACTGGGAGGAGGAGGTGGTGGGGGTATTGCAGAGTGAATATGATCAATTATGATCAAAATACATGTACATGTATGAAATTAAAAAAAACAATTAAAAATATTTTAAAAGTACATATCATGGCGCCTATCACCTAGGAAGCTCCTTTACATTCTAGTATCTAGGTAGTTTCAAAATGGGGCCAAGACACTGTAAAAATGAAGTCCATGATTGTAGGATTGCGGCCTTGAGTCTCAGACATGAGTTCATCATTAGATCTTTAAAGAAGACAATTCATTCATTGACCAGAGACTCCATCTACCTTGTTTACATAATGAACCTCCCCCCAAAACACTGGTCACTGGAGCCTGCAGATGCTTCCTGGATGGGGGCGCACTTTTGTGAGGACCCTGACGTTCCACAACGAGCAAGTACAGAAGCATGATTTGACTCCATCTTTCTCCCTGTATCTGACACTGAGCTAACCCTTCTGCTTTGTGTCCTTTGTATCTTCAAACATAAAGATATTGTGACAAGTATAAACGTTCCTGAGTTCTGAGCCTTACTAAGCAATTTACTACATTTTAAGGGTTGTGAAGCTCCTTGCATTTAGAGCCAGTTATTAAAAATGGTGAGTGGCTTGGGCACCTGGGAAGTGAGCTTGACACCTGATGGAGGAGCAGATATATTGGGGAGCATGGTACTGAACTTGTGGGGTTCACACTATAGTAACTCTGGAATGCTGAGTGGCCGAATTGAGTTGCAGCGTATCCATGGGACTGAAACAGCATGTTGCTTCTCAAGGACTCTACTGTTTCTGGTTCTTGTTCTATTTTATATTTGTATTCTACTGGCATGCACTTTCTCACCACACCCATTCACATCACACTCACACAAAACGAAAAACCAAACCAAACCAAACCAAAAAAACGAGGAAGGCAACGCCTCCTTTTCCACTTACTGCTGGTTCTCTTGAAAGAGTCCTTCACTGGTTTTTCCTTTCCTGTCTCAGCCCTCAACGTCTTTGCTCCACCACCACTTAATCTAAGCCTTCTCATGATTGTCTTGCCCCACAGTCAAGGCTCAGTATGTTTCATGATTCGACTCTTCAGCAGTGTTTCATTTTGGCCATCTTCATTTCTTATTACACCACAATCTTTCCTGCCCTCATCTCTGCAGTATCGCCCTGCTTCTCTGTGGGCCATTCCTTTCCTGGTCTCCTGGAGTATCTTCTGCTGAGCTTTTAATGATTCTGAACTGCACACACTGTCCGAGCCTTGCTCTCCTCTCATCCCTAGCTCACTGCTGTGGTTTGGATTTGGTTTGAGTGATGCTTCCCCTTTCTCTCAGTAGTGGGTGCCTTAGGAGCCTGTTTCTTAGGTGGTGATGCTGAGCAGTGAGGCCTAGTGTGAAAGTCCTTAGGTCACTGAAAGCATGCTCTCACACGGTTTCAGGTAGTTCTTTGGGGACCCTTGAGTTGATTTTTGAAGGCAGCATGTTTTGATGTAGCCTGAGCCCGAGTCCTGAGTTGGTTTTGGTGTCCTGTCTGGTAATGCCATCTCCATGTGTCCTTGCCATCTCAGTTATCATTTGTTAGGACGTTCTTGCCAAAGCTGGGTTGATGCAGGCACCATGTCATTAAATTGCCAGAATCATGAGTTAAACAAACATCTTTTCTTTATAAGGTAGGTTGCCTCATGTGTCTTGTTATAACAAAACTGAGCTAAAACACCTATGCATATCTTGTCACCCACCTGGATATTTGGCTATGGCTCCTCCAGTCTTCACTCACTACTCTAACTTGACATTTAATCAATCATCACATCTGAATCCTTTTGCTTAACCAACTCCCCACCCCTTCTCTTCATCTATGTCCTCTGTCTTGAGAAATAGCCCTGGTTCACTTCACTGCTGCCAGTTGTAAGACCCTTCATCCTGTTCTTTACCCCACAGCCAGATTGATATTTCCTCAACAGATTCAGTTATGTAGAGCTTAAACCCAGATCAGATCTGGTCCATGGCAGGTGGCAGAGAATTTTTTGCTGAATGAGTGAGTGAGAGGCTAGGGAGATTGCTCAGTGTGTAAAATACTCACTGTGTAGCTGTGAGAACCTGAGTTCAGATCTCCAGCACCCATAAGAAAGTTAGGTGTGGCAGTGTGCCTCTGTCCCAGTCCTAGGAGACAAGGAGATCCTGGGGGCTTGCTGTGTAGTAGAAAAAGCAAGCTCCAGATTCAGCAAGAGACTCTGCCTCAACAAATAATATAGAGAGTGGTCTAGGAAGGCACCTGAATGGGCAAGTGTACCCATACATACTTCTAACACACACACACACACACACACACACACACACACACACACACACGCTGAATAAATGAATGAGTGAGTGAATGTTTCACCTCAAACCATGGTCTGAAAGCTCTGTAAGCTCTTTGATATGGTTTTCAGCCTCCTGACCTGGACAAACATACTCTTTCTTCTCTTTGGCATTGAATAGCTCACACCCATCCCCCTCCTGCACGGAACACCCTTCCTTGCCACAGATTGAGCTTTCGGGAAGCCTTTCCTGCTCCACCTTCTATATGGGCCCATGTCATTTCCTGGTCCACCTATCACGTGCTTACTACATTTTATTGTGAATGCCAGCAGCACACACCCGCTGGCAGTTTCAAAGCAATCCTAGTCACGTCACATTCTTGGCAATACTTGGTGTAGCCAGACTTTCAATTAAAGGTTGATTTGGTATAAAATGGTATCTTATTGTAGCTAAATTTCCGTATTTCTAATTTTTAATGTGATAAGCCATCTTCTCAAATGTTGACTAGCCATTTGAATCTATTGTCGGATGAAATGCATGCATTCTCCCATGTCAGATTGTTTTTCTTTTTCCTGTTTCCTTGTAGAAGGTGTTCACATATTCTGAAGATCGGTCCTGTAAACATACATGTTATAAGCCTGGGCTCTTAGTTTATGGATCTTTTTACTTTTTAATAGTGTCTATCAGTCAAAAAGAGAATAACACTTAAATGTGGTCAAATTGGTCAGTTTTTCATGAATGATTTATGCCTTAAGTATCTTATATGAAAAATATGTTCATGCCTCAAAGGCACAAAGATATTCTTCTATATTTTGCTTTAAATGAGCTTGTTTTGCCTTTTGTATTTGTGGACATCCCATAGTTGCCGTATCACTTCTCTCGGAGAGCAGCCTCCATGAGGCTAGAAAGCATCATTTTGATTCATGTTGATGCCCAGTGTTTCTCACACAGCTGGAGCCACCCTGTAGGGGATGAATGAGTAACTGTTGAGTGGCTGATCCGGTGAACAAAGAAAATGGCTGGAGGTAGAAGCAGAGTGGTGAGAGCTCAGGGGTATGAAGAGATGCTTTTACAGCGATAAAGGAAGGGACTGAGTAGATAGTGGTCTTCAGTTCTGGTTCCATATTGGAATTACTTGGAGACTCCTTAGGTATGCTATGGAGGGCTTCATCCAAC